GGTCCCTGTGCTTTGCTAAGCTTGTTCTAAGTAGGTGCTTTAGACCACTGAGCCATCTCACCAGCCCCAGGAGTATGATTTAGATCTAAAGTCTCCTCCCAAAGTCTCATGTGTTTGCAGGAAGGGTCTGGCTGAAGGAGGAGTCGCTGAGTGTACCCTGGAAGAGTGTACTCCTGTCCTGCCTTCCCCGCCTGTCTGCTGCCTACCATGGGTGTAGCTGTCCTCCACTAGGCCCGTGCGGTTTCTGCCTTGCAGCTAGCTGACCAGAACTGAGTCTCCCCAAAACATGACCAAGGAGCTTCTTGAAATTGTGGGTGCTGGGCAAGGCACTGAGATCCTGGGGCTCCTGATCTTGCGTGGGAAGCACAGCAGGCAGAACCTTTGCGGCTGCCACTAGGGAATGGGGACTCGCAGGTGGTGGTGCGGGCTGTGGCTGAGCACCATGTTCCCTCTGAATGGACTAACAGGAGGCCCGTGGTCCAGCCAGGAGAGACTGCCCAGAGCTGGGTGGGTCTCAGGGTCAGGGTGCCCCTCAGTGCTTTGGATTCTCCGGTCTGTGACCTTGACTTTCACTGCATGTGTGTGTGCCACCTCACACGTGGCACCCTGTCCTTCTCTCCGCCACCCTCCCCTGACTCACTCTTCTCTTACCTGCTTGTTCTTTGGTCTTAGTGAATGTGTTCAGATCTTCGCACTGCCATTTAGTAGCCACAGCTGTGTCTCCCGCAAGGCTTTCTGCTTCCGGGCTGCATACCACAGCGTATGTGTACTGTCTCAATATGACAGCTGCTGCATACCTGGCAGGGGGTGGTGCTAGGTGTTATTATGATCTTCAGCCTCTGTTCAGCACAGATGGTCTCTATGACTTGTCCAGGCACGTGCCCATGAGGACATGTCCCCCCACAGTGACTTCACCCCAGGATTTGCTCGGAACCACTTCACTGTAACCTACCAGTCTCCTCTCGGCATCTTGGCCCTCCCTGGCCCTGTGGTCCTTCCCTTTGGTGCCCTCGTGCTGTGGGCTGTTTCTCACCAGCCCTGGCCAGCTGCCCTCAGAGCATTCCTTGTCTCTGGAGACAGCAGTGGCTGCTGCCCTCTGCTCCTGTCAGTTTCCTGGGAGCTTCAGGCATCCTGTGTCTCATTCATCTACCTGTCGCCCCCTGCCAAGTTGGAATCTCCTCTTCAGTGAATAAGCAGAGTTTCTACCTTGCTGTCGGACCTCTGAAGGGCTGGGCAGGCTGCCCCGTGCCCACAGATTCACTGGCTCCAGCTCCTGCACGGTGGCCGAAAGCATCAGTGCACACTCTGCCTCCTGCAACTGCGGGACTTCATGAGTGTGTCCGTGCTGCCTTCACCACACTCGTGCTGGTGTGTGCTCCCAGGGGATCCCACTATTTGGGGGTCCCCTGCCTTTGGCTGACCGCCTTCCTGCCCTCAGGGTGACATGGCACCTAGCACACCTAGGGTGCTCCGTCCCTCTGTGAGAGTCCACCCCAGATGCAGGCCTGCAGGGCCATCTGAGCTTGTCAAGAGCCACTGGCTCAGGAATGATCAAGAATGTCTTCTAGGGCTGGTAAGATGGCTCAGTGGTCTAAAGCACCTACTTAGAACAAGCTTAGCAAAGCACAGGGACCACGGTTCAATCCCCCAGCACATGCCAGCCAGCCCCGCCCCCTGGTGGGCTGAGCTGGCCACACACACACACACACACACACACACACACACACGAATGTGTTCTGGAAAGAAGTGCTTTGCATGAAAGAAAGGATGGTCTCTATAGTGACATAGTGCCTCGGGAGTGCTTTGGCCTCCTGTCACTGTGGTGTGTGCATAAGAGCATGCTCCAGGCTGCCTGTTGCCCTTGGGGACGGCAGGAGCTGGACTGCAGACCCTAGAGGAAGAGCGCACAGCAGGATTCGTGCATGGGGGCAGGCTGCTGCCGGAGGAAAGGAAAGTGACTGGGGGACGTCCCTAGGTGATCAGTGTGTTGCCACAGAGAGGGATCGAGGAGGATGGAAGAGGGCAGGCTGGAGGGCTATCTTTAGGAGAAACCGTGTGTTAGGCCAGGCAGGTAGGGCCCAAGGGAGGAGGCGACAGCTGAGATATGCTGAGAAGTGCTGTACACAGGCCCTGACGCCCCACCTTGCCTGACATCGCCATGCACTGCAAGTGAGCTGCTGAAAACTAAGCAGACTAGCTTGGTTATTAATACCTCGCCTTATTCAAGCATTTGTTCCTGCGTTCTTACAAATCTCATGATGATGCAGCTGCTAATTGACTCCTGTTCATGCTGGTGAGATTCATAAATGTATGCTTCATCAAAATTCCTATCTTGAATCCCTGTGGCCATATCTCTTCTATGAAGGGAAAAATGGCACTGAGGAATCTCTTTGGGGGGCTGGCACCATGCCAGTGAACCCCCGATGTGTAGCATTGGCCCTGTTGTCACCAGCTCTTCTCTCCAGGGCCCCGGGCCCCGGCCCGGTGGAAAGGCCTTTGCAGCGCACTGTTAGGGGCACCTGTGCTAGCCAGCTGTCCAGTGTGCTGTGCATCCCCACGACAGTCCTCTCAAAGGGAGCAAGCTTGTTTGTGGCCCCAGGTTTAGAAGCTTCACTTCGACTGTGGGCTCCACTACCTTCGGGCTTATGGTGAGGCAGAAACGTCGAGGCAGAAGGGCCTGGCAGGGGAAGCTGCTCAGCAAGAGGGTGTCCAAGAGAGGACAAAATACTGCAGGGGCACAGCCTGGGCTCACCTACTTCCTGAGGCTTCTCCTACCCCTCCCGCTAGCCCACTAAATCCCTAGCTCATCATGGAAGATGCATGGATAAGCTCAGGGTCCTCAGTATCCCAGCATCACCCGAGGCCCCCTCCAAGCCCTGCTGTTCTGGAAACTGATCCTGCCACACTGGAGCCTTTAGGGACCTTTCAGGTCCAAAGCACCAAGGCCAGCTTTTTTTTTTTCACAACTGATTCCTGGTGCATTTTTAATAATTAATACATTCCATATTGTTGTCTTAGTGGTTGTTCATTGTACAAGATGCAGACCTGATATTCTGTCTCAAACACTATTTTTTTATTTTATTTTTTTCCATAATTTTATTGAGAAACAGCAATGAGAGAGTTTCAAACCAAATTGGTAGGACACTTTCAATAATTAACACATTGCATACATTCTTCCTAGTGGTTAATTGCTGTACAAGATGTGGACTTGATATCCTATTTACAAACACCATTAG